ATATATATCAATGGTGTGCCATTTTAGTGAACAATGCTGCAGATAATGCATGCTTTTGTGTTTACCCTCTGTGACACTGTTCACACTTGGACTTGTGATTCTGTGCATCATCAGAGATTATGACAACAGCTACAGAAGCTGTAAATTCACCACCAACCTCCTCCATCAAATCTCAAATGTTTTTTTAAATGGTTAACTTGAATAAGTCTTTTTAAATAAGGGGATGGGTAGCACATTTCCTCTGACTGACTCTCTGTGGTGGAATCCATTTTGGCTGTGTTAGTGCCACTGATGCTCCAACAGGTGATGCGGAATCGCCACGCTCTTCTTGAATGGTACTTTCTTGCTTTGCAGTGGTTCAGTGGACCAATTACAGCAACTCCCCTCTTGCCACTGATTACTTTCAAACTAAAAGAACAAATCAAAAAACCATAATGTGACATGAATGTAACTTGTAATGTAACGCATTATAGAAATGTAATGGAATAAAAATCAAAAGTACCCATGATTAAATCTACTTAAGTAAAGTACAGATACAAGGAAAATATTTTTAAGTACACAATACAAGTACTTAGTTACATCCCACCATTGGTAGAAGCTGACAATCATTCACAACACATTCTTCAAGCTTTTACAGATGGTGATTTTTCATTATCACAAATGGCTAACGCTATCATTTCTCATTATAGAAGGATGTGAAAGTCATCAGGTAATAAAATGTCCTTCAAGAAATGACTGCAGTTATCGACCTGTCAATCAGGAAATAAACCTGATGCTTCTGATATCAAACCAACCAGCGCAGTCTGAGGAAAAATGTGTCTGTATGGATGTGAGGGCTTCTCACCACCTCTGATGGAATGACCTGTCTTGTTTAATCCCCATCCTTCCCTGTGTTTGTGTGACAGATGAGGGTCAGACAGTCTGCGGCTCACCTGCTGACATGCAAGGTCGACGTCTGGCTGAGGTGGGCCTCCAGCTACGGACGCTATGTCACCAGACTCTGGGCTCCTGGGACTACCTCTTCTTCGTCGTCATCGGCTTTGTCATCTTCGCCGCCGGCACCGTGTCGGCGTGGTTGATGGGGGTCGTCATGGTGCTGTATGAGCGCTACATCAAGAAGAAAGATGAGCAGCTGGATATGGAGAATGACAACGAAAGCAACGAGATGAGCCACTCATCGAGAGGCAGAAAAGACCGCAGCAACAGAAGTCTAAAGACCTCGTATACTGTTTAAAAGACTTTAATCCCACCCTGTCTGATAGGGGTCCCACAGTGCCTCCTGTTAACCTGCACACTGCCTGAAGTCTGATGTTGAGGTAAAACTGTCTGTTTTAACAGGCTTGGCTTCATGTGTAATGGGCTGTCAGGGGATTTAAGACATTTCGTAGTGTCCAAGGTGAAAGTCCCCAGAGCATAGACCAGTCCTGGTCCTCAAGGGCCACTAACCTGTACTGTGTCGATGTTTCTATGCTTCAGCGCACCCAATTTGAATAAACAAGTGATTGGCAGGCAATCATAGAGCTTGAAAAACTGCTGAAGAGCAAAGAAACAACTAAAACATGCAGGATGGTGGCCTACGAGGACCAGTTTTGAGGACCACGTACATAGACCATATATGCAAATCTCTGACTTCCTCTGCTGTTCATTTTGTGTTGCGTCTGGATGAAAAGTGCTTTAGTTGGCTAAAGATGAAGGTCTGAAAAGTTTGGGAGGAAACAAGTCATCTGCATCCTTAAAGGGATATTTAGCACAAGTTGAAGTGAGGTTCTTGTAATCAATTAATATCTTACCAGTTGAAAACAGCTCTTTATTTCAGTTTGGATAAATGAAGTTCCATTTTGACAGGAATGATGAGGTAACAGCCAGTTCTTCAGACATCACTAAGATTTAAGTGTGTTTTCACAGTCTGAAAACAGCTCCAACCAGTTACAAACATTAACTCATTGGCTTGTTTACCATCATGAGTTTTACATTAAACAGTTACTGACATGGAATTCTGTTTTAATTTGCAAGTGCAAGTAGCAGCAGCTAGCTATAGCATTTCAGAAACAGCTTGGGGTCACTTCTTGCTGGAATCTTTTCATTATTAAGCATGAGGTAAAAAAATTGATGACAGTGTTAATATTTAATGGGAACATATCGTTCAAAATCCACTTTTTAGTCATTAAATACATCTTGCCGTGTACTTTTTTCTGTTTTTACATCTTCAGTATTTGTGACAGAACTTCTAAAGAAGGTCTGGACTTACCAACTACAATTTGGGTTCTTCATTCTCCTCTGGTTCTGGATCAGACTCTGGTCCCAACATGTAAGGCTGGGTGCATTAGTTTTCCCTTGTTTACATCTTTTAATTCATTTGTAAATAAAACGTTTTCGCCAGAGGAGTGGCCGGGGTGGCAAGTTCCACCTCTGGCACCTGATTGGGCACACCAAGTGCCACCACCAAATAATTGACAAGTGAATGGGATTCTTGGATTTTGAATTTACATTTAGATTTTGTTAAAGATTGTTCTCTGATACTTCTGTATTATATAATTCTCAGCTATAAATGCTTAAAAATGGATGAATTATAATCCTTCATGAACTTGGCTAGAATTCAGCATGTTGTTTGGATCATTCTTAGCTATGATCACAAAACTTTAGCTCAATAATTTTTAAAACAGCTGAATTAAAGCCATTTGGATGTAACTGTGGTGGTCATCATGAATTCTCTAATCCAGAGTGGCCCCCTAAAAAACACTTTGGCCACCCTCTGCAAAATTCTAACTCCACCTCTGCTTTCTATGTCACTATATAATCAATAACCCCTCTGTCGAACTAGAATGAACCGGCCTGGGAGCTGCAAGGGGCAAGGTGCAAAGTGTCTCATTTGGATTTAGACGGCCTCAAAACGAGTTAATCTGATCTTGAACTCGTTTGAAACTTTGAAGATTGGAGTCGTTTTAGAACAACAACTGTTCTTTTAAATTTCATAATGGTTACAAATTCTGATATTCAAACTGCTGTCAATATTTCACTTTTATTTCTTCAGAAACATCAGCCAATGGCTGTACAGGAAGTGACAAAATTAGCTGCTGCTTTTTGTGTTTGTACATCATCCAGTTGTATGCAAATTTCTGTGTATTTCAAAATCTACAGCTCTGTAACGTTTTATAAAATTATGTTTGCATTTTGGTCTTTGGTACATTAGGATTAGCCTTTGCTCTTCAGTCAGTTTAGGATGATGTTAAAGAGCTTTCTACAACAAGCAAGATATTAACTGTCCACAACTTTTCCACCGAACCCCACTTTAAAATGACCTTAATATCCTCAACCTGTACTGTTAAGAAGTGCTCGTGTTTTACACGCTTTTATTTTCCAAAATGACACAGTTAAAAAAATCTGTATGATGCTGCAGCACTTTGTTGGTATTGTTTGTATAAATCATTTGTTGTTATTTACTGTTAAATGAAGCCCCTCCCCATTTAAAAAAAACACTGTTTTAATTGGTCAAAACCTGAACATGGCAGAACAGCTGCTCAGTCTTTGTTTGAGTTCAACAAACCAAACAATGAACAAATGTTACTTTGTGGTTTCAGGATTTCAGTAGGAAAATATTTATTGGTTTGATTATTATTATTATTATTATTATTATTATTATTATATACAAAATGGGAAAACTATGCAGTGTACTGAAAATGGAAAAACCTTAAAAATACATGCATATATGTCTATTTACAAAATGAATTTATGAGTTTAAGGTCAAAATTTATGATTCACTGCTAATATTGTTGTATGAGCAATAGGATTTCTGATGATATTTGCATTTTTTAAAATTAGTTTTTCTTTGTAAATGTTGCTTTTCCTTTTGAATTTAATCAATGAAACATTTTTTTACTTTTAAATTTGTTGTGGAGCCACAACATGGGCTGGGTGTTTCAACAGGACTGGTTTAGTATATCAATTAATTTCTAAACAATTGTTGTTTTTTTTAAATAATTTAATATAACTGAATGATTTTTTTAATTCTCCATTCATCTCTTATTCAACAAACAGGAATGCAGTCACTGGTGAGAGATTAAACTCATTTGTTTTCACTGAATCTTTACCATGACACCATTTTGAATTTAGTGTAAAGTTTCCCTTTCAAAGCCAATGCTGTCAGGACTACAATGGCTCAATTAACAGCCTAATTTACCAAACTGAAAGATAAATCCTGTTAAGAAGCTGAATGCGATGATTTAAGACCATTTTCTTTTTATTTTTTAGAGTGTTGGCTGTAAACATCATTGTGTTTTGATGTGACAAAAAAGGAAACTATTTGGCCACTGATCACAACAAAAATTCGAAACCAATGGACAAAACACAACCTTAATTACAAATGAAGTTAAAAAGAGCTGTTTTAAAAGACAGTATTTTAAAAACACAAGTTACAGCAAAACAAAACAACAAAAAAAGAAAACAGCTACCTGATCTGAGGTGCATGATGAGTCTTGCCTGAGGATGAACTGGGAGGGAAGTGGGTGAACCTGCACTGAGTCGACCCGAGACGACCCAGGTAGGACCATGTGAAACCTGAGGGAAAAGACCATCTGGTTGTATAAAGATGAAAAGTACACTGAGTTATTAGTGTTCTTCACACCTTCTTGTTTGGTCAAACATTTCTGAACTGATGAACTGATGAAAGATTCATGGAAAATGAATCGACATCAAACAAGAAATAGTATCAATTACCTGTTTGCACATGTGTATTGTATAGTAACTAAGTATGTTTACTTTGTTACAGTACTTATGTAATTTGTTTGAGGATTTGTAATTTTACCAAATATTTTTGTAATCTTAACTTTTACTTTTATTTTGCTGCAATCTAAACATAAAACGACACTTTTACTTCTTTACTTTAAAATTTCACACCAGTTACGAGTTTAAATATGAGCTGAAGTCATCATGAAGAGTTGTTTCTGCACTCTAAAAAACAAAGTGTTGAATTTACTGAACCAAGTTATGTCAACTAGTTCCACTGGTTTGTTGAAAGTTTGGTTAAGTAAATTCAACACTTCATATCTTAAAGTATGTGTAAAAATATTTTTACTTTCCTGATTATTGTGAACAGTTTTATGACTTTTATTAAAGTACTTTTCTTATCATTGAAATAAATTTTTACCAAAGTCATTTTCTGATCAGGTACTTTTACTTTATTTCTGTTAAGTCCTTTAAAAACTTCTGCCTGTTTGTATGTGTCATGTTTGGTGAACTGCGTCACTGAAAAAAGACCAATTAAGGATACTGATATATAAATACTAGAGGTGTCCCGATGCCGATACCAGTAAAAAATAAATGGTTTCAAAAGTTATGGTGTGATATATTTACCAACTTATCTACTTGTCAGAGTTTGCACTACCTTTTTATTGTCAAACATAATATTTACCCATCAATTTTTGCATGATAAATGCATTTCATTTTCATTCTGTTTAATATTCAACAAGTTGAACAGATAATCCACCCTAACCCCGCTACTTGGTATCGGTATCGGTATCGGCGAGTACCTAAACTGAAGTACTCGTACTTGTATTGTACTCAGTCTTGAAAAATTGGTATCGGGACACCCCTAATAAATACTGAAGTGTCCTCCTTGCAGTTCAGCTGTTATTTTTCTCTTTCAGTTGTGATTTTTGATCTGTGATTCCTCTTGCAGCTTTGGGAAAAAAACAGATCAAAACTTGACTTGATTCGAAATATACTGTATATATA